ACGGACAGACGGACAGACGGACAGACGGACAGACGGACAGACAGACGGACAGGGCCAAATCAACTCAGCTCGTCACCCTGATCAAGAATATATATACTTTGTGGGGTCTGCCACGCCTCCTTCTCCCTGTTACATACATTTCAACAAAACCATTATACCCTGATTTCCCATTGAAAATGGGTTCAGGGTATAAAAATAGAAAGGAATTAAAAATCAAATAATGATTCACACATAAAAATCAAAGATTCCAAATAGAATAGCAATGATAGCCTTTGGCCTTTGCTTAATACTTATGCTTATCCTTGAATATAGGAGACCTATAAATTTATCTTTTATACTATCCATTTAATTTAATATTTCCCATTCAGTATGAGCCCTACAGCAATGCTGAAATCTCGTTCGCATTTTTTGCCATTTGTACAATGTTTATTGAATGAAACTTCATTATTTATAGTAAATCTATTCAAATTGGTTGGGGATAACAATGTTATCCTTTATGATAATACCAATGAACCGAGTTGACCTGTGGCAACTGCTGCCACTTATCACCCATACGCCGCGTGTGCCATGAGGCAGCATCAAATGCTGTGGAGCAGCGCGATTTATGCAGTCAGTCGGCGACTCTGAAACCTCGAATTGCGTATAAATTTTAGCTGAAATATGGCCATTTTTGTCTACTATGCACTGTAAACTTTCGACTTGTGGACGGTGCTGGACTGTGTGTGGCCTGGCCTGTGTAATGCCGTGCAGACAACAAGACTCTCGGCCCAAATTCTCAATGGCGACGCTCAATGCGGAAGATACATACATATATACACACATTTATATGTATGAGGTCGCCGGACGGCGGGCTGATCGGTAGGGGTAGGGGATACGACGGCTTAGCTAGCAGCTGCTGTCGGATTGGCGCTCTGCCTGCCTTATTATGCCGCCGCGTCGCCCTAGCCCGTAGCCCCCTGCCCGTTGCGGAATTATCGATTACGAATGAATATTTCATTAGCAGACGTGCAGCACAGACAGAAGCAGTAGGAACAGCAGCAGCAGCAGCAACAGCAGCAGGGCGGGCCATTGGGGCACCGTCAGCGTCTACGTTGCTAACGCTTATGTTGACTTCATTGGCTTCCGTTTCCGTAGCCGTTCAGGATTCCGGGTCGCGTCGTTTGCGGCGTTCAATTAAAATGCAGCGTACTTTGCAGCTGCCAACTCTTCTCGCCTAAAACATAATGCATAATGATTTTTTCGTTTCTTCATTTCAGACTTTACATAATTATTCCCACTGGGTAATTAATGCAGCGCAGCAGCGTAGGAGGAGCAGCTACCAAATGGGTCTCGAGATGACTCGACTTGAGGAGGTAGAAGTGGAGCTTAAGTGTATTCCATTGAGGTTAATAGAAGGCTTCATTGGCAGCATTAAAAGTAGCCTCTTCATTTTTAATGGAAATTAGTTTTCACTGCACTTTGTGGAATTTTCATTAAGCATGTAAAATGCAAAACAAAGCTTTTAAGTTGAAAACAAATATTTGTATTTTTGTTGACCATTAACAGCAGAGTCGAGCAATGTAGACATAATTAACATTTTGTACGTCTGCACTCTTTATATAAAAAATATATTCTATACAAAATTGAGCTTGATAGCTAATATATGTGTATGTCTTTTATATTTTTCAGCAATATTCCTGAATGCAGTCCAATGATGATCGTTACATGACTAGCGCCTCAGTGGCAGCGCATCCAAGCCAATCTGACCAAAGTTAACACCATCTGGACAGCTGGGAAATCTGACGAGCTTGCTTACAAAAATATGTTGGCTTACAGGCCCCTTTTCTAGTTAAGATTTAAAGCTCGAAATGCGTTGTAATCTAACACAATAAGTCCCAAAAAATGTAACAGCATATATTTATGTATAACTAATCATACTCTATTTTAATTATTGTAATACATGTCTAATATAATACTTCAAAAAATACCAAATAAAACATACCAAATTATAAATAAACATGGTCTTCTTATTTACGGGGGGAAACAAATAATAGGAGTAGGGAAATGCTCGTTGAGCAGTTACCAAGAGTAAATAAACGCCACGTGATGCGTGTGAAATACCAGGCGATCATCATTGAGTAGTAGCAGTAGGAGAGAGCCAAAAATGAGAAGTGCTCATTAACATTCCCTAACAGTGCGCTGTTATGCTACTATTGGGCTAACATAACAAAGTTAGTTAACATAAAGTTAATAATTTGTTAACATAAAGTTAACATTTTGTTAAAAGAATTATGTTAACTAATAGAAAAAATGCAAGTCACTATTAACAAACAATTTTCGCACACACAGCGGCCAGTGAGGAGCGTTTTTTAGCTCCACATCTTTCAGAAGTACCAGGCGATCAGAAATCAAGAGTAGGATGAAAAATGTTAATTAACATAACACTGTTAATTTAACATTTACTTAACATAATTATGTTAAGTAACAGTTTTATGTTAAGTTTCTGTTAAGTAACAGAATCATAACAGTGCACTGTTAATGTACTGTTAATGGGAATTTTCCACCCTGCTATTCATTTCTGTTCGCCTGGTACTTCGGATAAATGTGGAGCTGAAATACGCTCCTCACTGGCCCCTGTCTGTGCCCGAGGAAATTGTTTGTCAATAGTGACTTGCATTTTTTCTATTAGTTAACATAATTCTTTTAACAACATGTTAACTTTATGTTAACAAATTCAGAGCTTTGTGTTAACTAACATTTTCACTTCTTTTTCATTTTCAGCCAAAAAGTATGCAAAGTAAAGTAAGTAAAAGTATGCAATGACTGCTTTCACCTCCTAATTATACCATGAAACCACTAAAAATGCAAAATCAGGGTATAAACGTTATGTCTTAACATATTTAACAAGCAGAGGGAGGCGTGGCAGACCCTATATTGCATTATAGTAAGAGGAGAAAGGTTTTTTATACAGTTATAAAAAGAAGTATATACCTTTATACCTTTACTGTTTCTGCTGCCAATCTGCTCTTCGTTTATAACTGATTTAAATATAATGCCTTAAGTTTCTGCTAAATTCGTTATACAAATAAAAACCTATAGTAAATATAGAATAGCCAACAAATCTATTTACGTATACACCAATAGATTTGCGTAGAAAAGGTAAAACCTTCAAATGCTCAACCCAAACGTTAAGAGAGGCTAATGAAACATATAAATTCATTCATATGAACTAATAGTCTCTCATTTATTTGATAGTTTGGGTCGCTTTAATGGCAATCAGGGCATACAGCAGAGGGTCAGCGATATTATTTACCACGCCTCTACTGTGCCAATCGGGTAAAGTTGGGGACGAAGTGTTTTTTATGCACATTTGTTGAGTAACACATTCATTCTTCATGTTTATTATACGCTGTAATTGCATTGATATATCTGCTACATCAAGTATCAGGGTACTATTTTAGATAGCTTCTATGTAGCTATCATATGTGATAAAGCTATAGTATTGACGATTTCCCACGATTCTAGCCGCATATCCAAAAATGTCTGAATACTTTTAAATTGAAGGTAGCAACGATTACAAGCGACTAGCTCTGATTTGCGGTTAGCTTCGTGAATGGGCCAAAACACACAGTTCTGGCCCACGTTTTAGCCACGTTTCGTGCTCAGTTGATGGCCATAATTGCGACTGCTAATAAATAATCAATTACCTTGGCAAATAGCTGCTTAGTAAACAAGGCAATAAATTAAATATGTATAAATAATAATTACATCAATAAAATAATTATACCTAAAAAAAAAAGAGGAGAGAAAAACAAACACAAAGTAGGCTATGATAACTCACTCGGCCGGGCTGTACGTGTGTTAGCCCCAATGCTTTCATAGTCATAGTTCCACACTGCCTTTCTCGGACAACATTTCTACTTTTTCTTTAAAATCCAAAAATATTTTCAGAGCAGAAAATTTCTATATTTTTTTTTTCCTTTTCAGTTTAAGTTTTAAAAATTTTTAGTGTAAAAAAATTATTGATATTTGTTTTTTTTTTTTTTTGTATCTGCTCGAAATGAACATGCAACAGGTAAGGTATATAAAATTCGTATTTAAATATATAGAAGCTATATAATCTCAGCAACAGTGTGAATTGTACCCGCGTGTAAGATCCACGGAATATTATCGTACACCCGAGCCGAGAGTTTCGATTCAGAGTCGCAAGGCCGAACATCCAAATATGGAAAAGGATTCGCGGAGAAATGCAAATCTTCTGGCACCCCATATCATGCCCGCTCAGACATCGCGTATGCGGGTGCAGCGCGACAGCTACTTTTCCTAGGACGGCCGACTGCAGTTTGGTTGGTTCGCTGTATAGAGTTTTGATAATACGTGTTTTGTATTTGTCTTCCTTTTAAAAATTGATAGTGGCACTTTTTTTTTTTCGTACATAAAAAGGTCGTAATGTAAAATCCAAATTTCAAGTGTTTTATTTGCTATACTTGGGAACCATAAACAGATCTTGTGCTTAAGACTGATGTAAAGTTTGTTTCAGTTTGGTTTATTTTACATTCGATTTAGCCGCCTGTATTTATCAATCAATATCAGTTGTCGGCACTTCACAGAGGCTAGCAACTGTTTTTAGTAAAATTTTCCCATATGAAATATTACAGATATTTGAAGTCCAGGCAAATGTGTTAAAGGTGTTTTAATACAAGTCGTATACATTTTTATGGAGTACATTGAGAGTTCGACAAGAGAAGAAACACTCCAAGAATAGTTAATTAATCCCATTTCAATCAAAGTTTGCGATCTACGTACAACTTGCTCGTATTTTATTCATATTCGTAATATCCTTTGGGTAATATATTATTTCAAATACATCAGACAATTAAATACGCGCTACTAAACAGGATGTGAAGGATATTCATATGAGTGTGCGTATGAAAGGACGCACTTGACAGATCTATTAGGGACTCATTAGGCTGGCGGCTCGGCAAGCTGTTGCCAGCGCTTGTTAATTCCCGAAAAAAAGGTGCTCGACACTAATGATAGGCAGCTGCTGCTCTGCTGCTTACGTAAGCTCCTAACGGGATATTTAGTGAGCTGTGTGTGAGTGCTTGAGTGTGAGTGTGTGTGTGTGTGTGTGTGTGTGTTTGTTATGCATATCATTGGTTTATATGTGTTTATGCTCGTCTCGCTGAAATGAACACCGCAGTGGCTGTTGGCTGTTGGTTGTTGGCTGTTGGCTGTTGGCTGTTGTTTGGGGCACACCTGACACGTGAGCTCCATAACGGAGGCCTCGACATGTCATGGACGCGAGCGCCGCGACACGCAAGCCCCAAGTCCCAAAGCGAGCCCAAGCGAACGTTTTCACTTTCGCCACACAAATCTTCGTTTGGCTTTCTGTTTAATGCGGGCATTAAATTAAGAGTGGGATGCCCTCAATCTTTCGCTCTCGCTCTCTCCCTCCCTCTTTCTCTTACTCTGCCTCTATCGTGCACGCTCTTCCCTGTCTTGGTGGTCGGTGCAACAACCTCGTTTAGCCATTTGATTGCAGCATGTGGCACGGGCACGACCTTGAACCACTTTTGATTTCTAATTTTGGGGGCTAGACGACTTGGAGCGCAACTTGGAATAACTTTGGCTGTCATCGCATGTAACTGCCAAGCAAGCGCCTACTCTATTAATAATGACCGAAAGCCTAACTGCAACTTAATTGCACACACAAGTGGCTGGGGCTATACAATCAAGTGAGTGGGAGGGCCTGAGTGTGTATGTGTGTGAGTGTGTGTAGCTACTATGACAGCAACTAAAAATAAACAAATGAGCCAAGCGCCCAAACGCTGTAATATGAGCAGAAAAAAGGACTGTGAGAGTGTGAGAGAGCGCGCTGTGCACGCTGTAGCTGGAACAGAGCGAATTGACACGAGCGAATTGAAATGAGCGAATTGAAACGAGCGATTGCGTACAGAGCGAATAGAGAGCAGAGCGGGAGAGCATGTAAGCCATGCTATGACTGACGCTGCACAGCCATGCGAGTGTGAGTGGGCAGAGAGAGCATCAGAGTGAGTATAAAACTGAGTGCGAGTTGTTGTTGTTGTTGGACCAATGGATTTCAAGGAAGTGAAATTGCTGCAGACAGGAGTTTGCCTAAGCACGCCCTTCGACCCGCCTGTCGCTTCCTGTATGTGTGTAAGTGTGCGTGTGTATGTATGTATGTGCGTGCGTATGYGTCTGTGAACATTTTGTTGTTTGTTGGAAAAACACGTTGGGCTTGCCTATGTAAAACACACACACACACATAGACTCTGCTGCTCACCTCTTCTCTCCTCTCTCTTCTCCACATTCTCTCACTTATTCTACTGCTCAGTGGCTCCACTTAAAAGTGTTATATTGACATTTGGCTACAATTTGAGCTGTCCAAAGCTTTATGATTTATGCTGCGCTGCATATGTAAATGTGTAATGTGTGCATATGCATATGCCTGTGTGCCTGTTTGTGTGAGTGTGCGTGTGCGTGTGTGTGCTGTAATCGTTTGCTCTATTTTTGGGGCTTAGTTGAACAACAGCAGCGCGCTGCAAAGTGTGCTATGAATTCTTGTTGTGGGCGGCTACATTCGTGTATACAACTAGTTAAATAAAATGAAATTTTCTTCTATATAT